ATGGCCTGTTCAGCCTTTTAAATAAAAAAATATAAAGATTTAAAATAGTAATTTAATTGTTTGTGTTTTTTTGTCAAAATGTCTCTGCTATACTAGTTTACGGAGCCGCCAGTCGCTTATGGGAAATCATAAGCGAAGGAGGGGGGTATTAGAGCAATGCTTCAGAGAGCCAACCTCGAATCCTCCTCCTCCACTTCCCTTTCAAAGCCATACCGGCATACCTTTGCAGCCGCCAGGGGTATATGCCATCCCCCAGACGAAGCGCCCAGATGAAGGGTAAGCGGGGCGGAGAAGCCGTGTAAGGCATCAGGGACTATACTTGCAATCTCTATGTGGAAAGGCCCCTGGCCTCAATAGCAGTGGATGCTACGCTTGCCCACGCATGACATAGTCAGAGATGGCTCCTCCGCATCTTTCCGGATGGACCGCTTCAGTGAGCCTACCGAGCAGGCTAATTTCCCCAGGCGGTATAACGCCAGGAGGTGCGTGAGATCACAGACACCTTCGACCGCTGGATCGTACCTCAGAAAACCGGGAAGAGAGTGAGCATTACTCTCCGCCTGGCACTCATCAATGCTAGATTCCTAGGCATAACAAGACTTATCCTGTTAATAACTTTTTTATAATCCCCGGGATTTGGACATTTATGTTTCTGACGGAGACGTGGATTACGTGCTGGTGAGTTAACAGCTTTTTCTGAACTTTCTTCTTCCTGACTGTTCATTCATCAGCACCCCGTCGGACCACCAGTAGAGGATGGAGGGCTGGCGTCTGGTCTGTAAGTCCAGCGATTTAACTGCGGTCATACTCCGTCGAACAGTCTCTCCAGCTTTGTAGCTGCAACTTTTCGAACTACACTTAAAGGTCCCATGTCATGGCCATTTCCACTGATCATAATTCCATTGTTGAGGTCTACTAGAATATATTTATATTGTGCAATTTTCCAAAATCACTTGGTTTCTCATACAGCACCTCTGTAAACTACGTGTATTCACTGAATTTCACTCTCTGCCTTTAACGGCTTTTTGTAGCTCCAATAGCTCCAGCCCCCACCCTCCCTGTGAGCACAGTGTGCTCTGATTGGTCGGAACGTTGTGAATCGCGCTGAGCTCCGTGGAGGTGTGGTTTCCTTGTTTAGCGATACACAGTGAAACACAGCCAAACTCACCCTGAGCACACACAAAGTCACAGCCGAAGTAAAAACAATAAGTGTGGCTTGATATTGAGTAAGAAAAAGGTTGATAAACGCTGTGAGAATGGGTCTGCAGAGAGAATTTCGCCGCGATCCCAACAGTCTGTTATCAGTCTGCAGCCAGGGAGAGAGATCAGCAGAGCTGCATGCATTGAGTGTGTTTGTGAGGAAGTCCGTGGATTGGTCAATTTGGACCAATCAGCGGGGGCTTAACGTAACGGCTCCGCGGACGTAACGTAACGGCTCCACGGATTGGTCCATTTGGTTCCGGGTAACGCATGACATCATGAGTTGCCCGGAAGAATCAATGGACAGTGACATATCTCCAACGAGGCGTTTTGGGGAGGTATTTTCTGTGTTAGAGTTTTACTCGCTACAGGGTGTACTTTGAGGGTTTTGACTCTGCAGACCGTTTACATGAATAAAAACCTTCATAACACACAAGGGGACGGGTAATAACCGGAAAAGCATGACATGGGACCTTTAACTTTCTTTAAGTACAGTGGAATATATATTTGCATGTATCACAGTCCCTGTTACAGCCAACATCATGGCACTTTTTTGTGTGCAGTCTGTGCATCCCTAATCTAACAGACCCAAAACCAAAAATATGTTCTTTAGTGAAGAAGAATAAGAAAAAGCAGCAAATTCTTACATGTGAGAGGCCGGAGGCATCAAATGTTTGGTCATTTAGTCTAAAATAACTCAAGCGATTTAATAGATGATCAAAAAAGTTTCCTACTACCTTTGGTGCTAATTTGACAATTTAAAAGTCCCCGTGTCACCTTACGGTCTAGAATGTTTGTTTGATTTTGTAAAATGTAAAGCCGGACATGCTTCCAGTCTTAATATCAGCCGTTCACACCGGACCCCGCTGTGTATCTGCTGCTGGGTTTTGTTCCAGGAGTGATGAGAGTGTAAACATGTGTTAATCTTCTTTTCACGCTGCTCCAGCATCCGCGCTGGCGTTGAAGTGAACTATATGAGTAACAGCAGGGAACTCATTAGAGGCAGCTGCCACATTGCTAGAGCCCATTGTTTACTCTGAGTTAATTAAAGGATTATAGCTGGCTGTTTATGGAACATGTGAGTGTGAAATAAAGGGACAAGGCGGCAGAATACTTGCATTAGCAGTCAACAAAACTAATAGAACATCAGGGTATTTCATTCAAAATGCAACCACTCTTTGAAAGATCTTCATATTCATACAGTTTCACTTAAAATGACACATTTGTTTCAGTCAATTTGTGAATAATAGTGTTTCCACCACTCTGTTTACTGTTGAGTTTGTCACTGAAGCAGCACTTTTCATTAGCTCTAAGTACAGTAAATTACTAATAGCAAAAATACCATAATCCCATTATGAAGTCTTATCAATCAGGCGTGGTTAATTACTGGATCCGCTGAAGTCAAATGGGATTGTACACAGTCTATGTGCATGCAGGAATATGAATTAGATTTCTTATTATGTTATGATTTTTTATATTTGAGCTTTTGAGTCTGTGAACAAAATAATAAAATCCACAAACGTTGAGTGGAAACATATTGGTGACAGATTTCTCTTCCTGGAACAAACTACCAGTCGGCCTGCCATTGGTGATTTTATCTGTCATTAACCTCGGCTAAGCTTAGAACAGCTTCCCTCTTCTCCTCCGCTGGTCTGACAGGGGAAAGTGCTAAGCACATTAGCTGCAGGGTTAAATGATGAACTGAGTCTTCTGTTGAGTGTTAAGGCTCCATGTTCGCTGTTTGCATCCACTGCAGATGATTGTTACTTTTTTTTCTTTTCACTTTGCATGTTTATTATGCGCCAGGAAAGAATAAAAAGTCCAGTTTAACTTGAGGTTTACTTCATATCTATATATATTTGGTTTCTTGCAATCAAATATATTTTTAAAACTAGGCTGATCTTGATTATTATTATTACAGAGGAACTGCGTGTTGGAAACCGTCGTGTGTGTGTGTGTGTGTGTGTGTGTGTGTGTGTGTGTGTGTGTGTGTGTGTGTGTGTGTGTGTGTGTGTGTGTGTGTGTGTGTGTGTGTCATGAACACATGTGGTGGTCTCCTGTTGCAGCTGCATGGGATGCTGAACTAGGCTGTGCATGAGCACAAAACCACATGCACAACCTCATCGTGTGCATTCACTTTTATTTACTATCATTGTGGTTATGCTAATGTTTTTTGCAACAAACTGTAAAAAAGATAAGCGCAGCTAAAAAAAGACACACATCTTTCAGCCTTTAAAAAAAAAAAAAGACAAAATGAAAGCAACACTTCTTCTGTAAACCCCCAAATACAGGGCAACACAAGTGACAGTGACTCTCATATAAAGTGATGATATGAAGAAAAACAGTTTGTTGGTGCATTTACAAATGTTCCTTCCTCTACATTGAAAGGAGGATATCAGGATCTTGAAAGCTTCTACCCAATGTATCACAATTTAACAACACTTTGATGTTAACAGCTCCAAACAACATAACGTTAGGGCACTTGATATCCTAAAACTCCCCATTTGAAATGTTTTTGCAAAGTTAGGAAGCCAAGCAGATTTTGAAGAATCTTATCTCTTAAGTATTTTTAGTTGGAAGATGATGACATCCTAATTGTGAGTAGCTCGAGATCCAGAAGTTTCTATCAGGAGCTGAAAAGAGAATACATATTGATGATGATGTGTTAGTGTGGATATACAGCTTGTTCCAGTGCCCCCAGGTGGACAAAAAGTTGGCTAATACAGGTTTCAACTGAATTTTTGGTGTCGAAAGAGTCGGTTTATTATTTTGTATTTCTCAAAAACAATGAAAAACCATTAATCCAGCTTTTCAAAGTGGGACAATTCATGAAGATCTTTTGATATCGCCTTCTCCTCTCTCCCAGCTGTATCAAAGATTCTCAAGGTTATTTCAGATTATTTCTAACAACCTTTTTGTGTCCCCCTCTCTCTTTCTTTCTTCCTCTTTGTCTGCAGTCGAAGTCACTGCTTCCCTCACATCGCCCACAGCCTGAACAAAAGCAGCGACCATGGGCAAACAGAACAGCAAGCTCCGTCCCGACGTCATGCAGGACCTGATGGAGAACACGGAGTTCACCGAGCACGAGATCATGGAGTGGTACAAGGGCTTCTTGCGGGACTGTCCCAGCGGCGCGCTCTCCATGGAGGAGTTCAAGAAGATCTACGCCAACTTCTTCCCCTACGGAGACGCCACCAAGTTCGCCGAACATGTCTTCCGCACGTTTGACGCCAACGGAGATGGGACTATCGACTTCAGGGAGTTCATCATCGCTCTCAGCGTGACCTCTCGTGGTCAGCTGGACCAGAAGCTGAAGTGGGCGTTCAGTATGTACGATCTGGACGGGAATGGATACATTAGCAAGGCGGAGATGCTGGAGATTGTAACGGTGGGTTTTAAAGTCTGGAGTATTTGACCTCATTCAACCCCCCACTTTCTGCTTCTCTATCTGTTGACAGCCCTCAGTCTTTCAGTGGCCACTGCATGCCATCATCGTAGCGTCATGTTCCTCAAACTACTCAAGCAGTGAAGCAATATTTTGCCCAGCCATCCACACCAGCTGCTCCATCGTATTTCCATCTGCTTCTGTGTTCTGCACCATTTGACCGCCCACAGCAGGGAAACCAGCCACTGAGTCATTTTAGAAACCAGCAGTTCCGACATTTCTCAATAACACTCATATGTGATGTATTCCTAGAAGGGAGCGGCCCTCCTCTGATCCACATATTGACTCAGCATTGCATCCAGCAGCTGTGAGCCCCACCCCCCTCCGGTGTTGCTTTACAACAGTTAGTTTAACCCAGGCTCCTCGTCTTATTGGATAACCGGTTCTGACGCGCAACAGCAATCCTTTACACATGTTCGCAAATCCCAGTGCTAAAATGAGTGCTAGATAATGTGTAATCCCATTCTTTCACCAATCGTCCATGTTTTATTCTTTGTGTGTGCGCAGGTGTGTGCAAGTGTGTGTGTGTGCAGGTGTGTTTATGTGTAGGGATGACGTGATACATTTTGCTAAATGTCCATCAGTCCAACAGAGGGCTGCATTTACTTATTATTTTCATTGTGTATTTAGATCAGCTGATGTATTTTGATGCCTGATTATAGGGTCCGCTGCAGCATCCCTTCATCTTACCATTACTCGAAAACTAAAATATGTCCATCACAATAACAATCCAAGGTGAAGTCTTCAAATCATTGGTTTGAATAATAGTCCAAATCAAAAAGATATGTACAATCATTTAATTGCAAATATGTTGCTGAATGAATTTAATTTATGTTTCTGTAATTGTATTCTACATTCATCTTCCTCAATGCAGCTGTCATATTAGTGACAGATATCCATAACATGGCCTAAAGATGATCACAATTGTAACAGAGGCTGAACCATTACCCGCCCATATAAGCCGATTATTTAAATACAAGTTGTGTGTGTCCGTGTGATGGATGCAGATGATCCGAAACACTCTTCATCATTTGGAGGAATATTTCACATTTTCTAACCGTCAAATAGAAAGATGTCAAGGACTGAACAACATACATACGCAGCAACATTGATATATAGCAACAGCTTCAGTGTTTAAGTTCGTCAGAAAACCTAAACAGTGAAGCAATACATTCACTTTATCTATTTAAAAACCTAAACCATGTCTTTTAGGCCTGGGTTCTTCCCTTTTTGTTTCCGTGCAGACGCATCGGCGTCAGAGCTAAACATAAATAAATAAGTAATCCTTTATCTGTCTTCATCCCAGAGGAGCTGTATTGATTGATGGGTCATATATATATTTCACTGCATCTTCAACAATCTAGCTGATGCAACCTTGCATTTGTGCTTTTAGCCGGACTATGAAACGTGATCAGACGCTTTGTTTTTGACTGAGATATCTACTATTTAAATGTAATACACCCACTTAAAACGTTAAAGAAGGTAGGTGACTTAACTAACCACAAAAAACTCTTTTTACAATTGTAGTCTGAAACATAAAATCTTGTTTATGACTTCCTCCTCTCTGTTCCCTCTATCTTCAGGCTATTTACAAGATGGTTTCCTCTGTGATGAAGATGCCCGAGGACGAGGCTACACCGGAGAAACGAACGGACAAAATCTTCAGGCAGATGGACACAAATCGAGATGGTGAGCCTTCTTCATTCTGCCTTTCACTCTGCTGCAGTGTTTTCTGATAACACAGTAGCTTCTAAAGCCTACAACTGAACTCAGTGCCCTGTCAATCTGAGTAACACTGCACATGGAGAATATAGGCTAATTTAATTGGCATTTCATCTAACTTAACATCATAAGAAAACAATAAACTATTACTAAAAATAGCCCAAATGATCACAAGACAACTAAAACTCAACCAATTAAATTAAAAGATGATGCAATACTGGCCAAATCCTGTAGATGCAGTCTAGCAGTCTAAGTTGAACAATAATCTATATTATTTTCCACAATAGATGTATACAATGCACACATTTATTAGACGTACAAGATTATTGTTATTAAAAACATGGATTAGTCACAGACTGTTGTAACTAAAGGAGGTTACTTATTTAAAGCTTGTTTGGCTATAGGGACGCTCCTGCTAAAACAGACTTTCCTGCACATGGGTTTTTTTGGTTCATACCATACTTTTTTCTGTATTGCTATGAGCAATTGTTTAAGGAAAGTAACATCATCATGGGGAAGATATCTGCTCTTTTCTTTTGATTAAACATATTTTGTATCATCTGAAATGAATAAACAAAACCATTAATACTTGTCTTTCTCTCACAGGTAAACTGTCCCTTGATGAGTTTGTTGAAGGAGCGAAAAGCGACCCCTCCATCGTCCGGCTGCTGCAGTGTGATCCCAGCAGCGCTGGGCTGTAGAAAACTGGACTCTTCCCCCATCATTGCTTTGATTCATTTAACACAATTTTAATATATCTCCCCGCTGACCCACCTGAGATGGTTGACATTTGATCAATTGAGCTTTAGAGGCACATACACACACACACACACACACACACACACACACACACACACACACACACACACACACACACACACACACACACACACACACACACACACACACACACACACACACACACACACACACACACACACACACACACACACACACACACACACACACAACATGCAACTGTACTTGCTACAAATACCAAAGCCTGCTGCAGATATAGTCTTTCAGACGCTAACATGTGCCTCTATGCCTGATCAAAATCTGCAGACAACACCGATCTCATACGTGGTAGAAATATAACATAAAGGACTGAAATCCCATCAAAGACTTGTTAAACGCTGAATCAAAGTTGTGCTATCTCTGTCGGAGAAGACGGTCGACGAGGTTAATCCAACAGATTCGTGAGGTACATTGAGCCGAGTTCAAGTTTATTTTTGTTTTTGTTTTTATGCTCATTGTGTTCTCTTTTAACTGACTCGGGTTGTTGAGTGATGACTGACAGATTTTTAAAGTATTCTAGCTCCATGTTAACACTGGGAAAAAAAATGAAGTAAATGAGTCTGGCACTACAAGTTATCAAAGCTAACAGTATGGCTTATGTAGACAAGAGATCTGGGACGTTTAGTTTTAAAGTACAGAATAATTTAAAAAGGGATAAAAGCAGTTTTTTTTTTTTAAATGTCTATTTTGGAGGAAGGTTACATCAAACCAAAATGATACTCAGATTTCTAAACGAAGGAGAATATTTTGACTACAGGTCACAACCATCTGTTCTTTTGAAAATGACTTTTTATGCCAAGTTCTGTACACACACATACACACATACACACATACATACACACATACACACATACACACACACACACACACACACACACACACACCCCACTATTTAATTTAACAGATACAGGATACATGGATTTGACATATTCACATAAACTGAGCTGTGAACTGTGGTTCAACAAGTGTATGAGCAAAGAAAAAGTTAGTAGTTGTATGAATATATAGTATGTTACTTATATATTATTTTACTCTGTGATCACATTGTGGCGGTTCGCTACAGTGGAAAAAATAATAATTTTACAATTTTGACTTATAAATTATTGGATTGTGATTATAAACATTTTAATTTACTTGACGAATATGATATGAGAGAAAGTTGTACAGTATATCACCCATATTTATACTTGAGATGTTAAAAAAGGAGAGGACCACACATATTGCTATTCATTCAGAAAGTCCTTAGCCACATTTAGTTTAAGGCTTATTTTTGCCCTTTTTGAGAGAAAAAAGCTACAAATCTCAGTCCAATTCAGTCTACTGACATCTGTTTCCCAATAAGTCGGTACACGTAGGCAGTCATTAGGATTGTGTATAAACGATGGCATACAAGTCATTAAAGTGCAACATTAACAACTGGAAATGTCAAGTCTTTTGCGAATGTGACTTTACATCTCTTTAATGTGCACATAAACATTTAAGTGCAACTGTGACAAGGGAGATTACACTTTTTTTTATGATTATGTCGCACAGTAACAATTGACAAATGGAACAAAGCATTGGAGTTGATAGCGAGGAACAGCAGCGTCCACCAAACCTCACTGTGTTTTTGCAGGATTTACCGTTAGCTCTAACTAGCTTCTCACTTACCTCACCAAAATATGTGGTACACAACAGGAAGCTTAATGATAATTTTGGGAGAAAAACGATTGTGATACACATTTCAAGTAGGTGATAATCAGGTACGTCAGTCCCACATTTAACTTCAATAGCATCTTGTGGTCAAGTGCCAAATATAGATGACTGAAATAGAAGCAAAAAGAAATACAGTATTTTATCCATTTATACTGTACAGTTGTCTGTCGAACAAAACACTTTGTCACTGTATCATTTTGTAGATTTTGTATTGTTAACTGGTATGTATGTATTCTGTTTAGGTTTTCCATTTGGTTATTCAAATAAAGACAAAGTGGAAAAATGGCTGATTCTCTTTTTAATAGTCATAATGTTGCATTTGAAAGTAAGACATAATTAACCATGCGCATGGCTCGGGATAACAGTGGTTCATCTATTTGACCACTCCTGTCAAATATTCGAGGGATGCCAAAAAATGTCATGGTTCGTAGATGATGGGCCTAAGCCTTGATGAATTTTCTGATTCCTTAACTTTTCTTCTGGCATCACCAGTCATATTGTACTGTGGGTTTTAAGCTAAGAGAGTAGTATAACATTTAGAATACATTTTTGAAACGGTATAAATTGTAGCACCATTATCAGGCCAAACACTTACAATTTGGGTCAAATACAGCTACAGCCTCAAAGCGTCACCATCCGATCAAAAGGTACGGCTTTGGTTTATTTAATTGAAAGCTTTTCCATTGGCCCAAGCTAATTAGCACATGTTAGTATGCTAGCCTGCCAAACGTGGTGAGGCTGAAAGTGTTCAACTCTATGGATAAACTGCACCCGACAACACAGAGATACCAGATGTAGCAGCCCTGCCACAGTCACCAGAATATTAGGTGTTTGCTTGGCTTCTTATAGCAACCAGGAGCTAACTGCTACAGCAACATCAAACAAACAAATTAATTTGGCTAAAGATAACTAGCTTAAGTTAGCCGAGTTTAACAGAGTAAAGCAGTAACTGCTACTGACTAGTGACGAGGTGATTTGGTGTAGCTAAGTTACCTTTAAACACACTCATGAAGGCATTACAACAGTATTTCGGACAGCATTAAACATTTTTTATCTTAAATATAGACTGCACACCCTGTTAGCATTTTCATTGTGTTAGCATTTAGCTCAACAACACCTGTTCCACAGCCTCATAAAGGGCTCACTCTTTCTCTTATTTGTTTTTACCAAACATGACATCTGTATGTTTATACTTTTATTCATGTTTTCAATACAGCCAAGAACATGATGACATGTGCCATTTGACACCTGGCAGATGTTGTTTACTCGAATCTAATGTTACGTCCTACAAATAAACACTTGGGCTATTTGTTGACATGTTTATAGTTAGAACAACATGGCTGAAAAATTGTCATTTAAAAACTCCTTGAGTACTCTTATAGAGGGCAACTAGAAACAAAGTCACTGAAATGTAAAGAACTTGAAATCTTTGAATAAATTGCTATAGAAATGCAAAACATTGTCCTTAAAAAATAAATAATAACACAACTAACAAAGGCATGCAAAGGAGCTAAGTTAATTAGGACCAACTAATCCAGGCTACATACAGGCATGAGACATGAGGCTAATCCAGATGTGTTATTTGGCAAGATCACCAGACTGTACAGGAAAGTAGTTATTTTTTCATACAATAACAAATATTCAGTAAAAGTGGGGAACACAGATATGTGCTCCATCAATTCACCTCACAACATAGGGGGTAAGCACAACCAGGAAGTGAATACAACCAGTTCATAGGGGTTTCTATGAGCATCTGATTTACGCCACCAATGGACCGTCTCCAATACTGTCAGTCAGCTTATCAGCCAATTAATAGCAGCCTCGTGGATTGCAGTCTCTTTTGTCTAAAGCTGCGGTCCTTCGAGTCCACCGAGGAGCGGTCAGATCTCCATCAGCGTGATCTTGTAGGCTTCTGCATAGCTCTCAATGTTGAGGATGAAGGTGTCTTCGTTGGAGTAATGCTCAATGATGTTATCGTCCATGTTCACCAGGATCCTGACACAAAGCACAGTTACAGTTTAATTTCATATGCTTTAAGGGAGAGCTCAGATGTTTAGAAGTGTTGTTTGAGGTCTTTATCTATAGTCAGTGTATCACTGACAGTTAATGGTCAGTAGCCTGGAGAAACAGAGTTACAGCAGAAGCAGCAATGCACTGCTAGGGATTGAGATTTTATCCACCTACACAATTTATATTTGAACGCTTTATTTAGAATATTTTCACCGCTTTACCTTTCCTTCAAACTGTCCTTTCCAATGAAACTGAAGATGTTATCTATTCTCTAGTCAAAACTAGCAGACTTGTTTGACACCAACTTTTATTTTTCCGTCTAAAACACAACAGTTGCTGGTCTACTATTCCCTTTGTCAGTTTGTTTGTTTTTGTGTGAGTTTTGTGTTTTACAGGGTTAGTTCACATTCACACACTAAACAAACAAAGTGACCGATTGACACAAAGGCAGACCAGCAACTTCCTGTTCTGCAAGGGAAAATTCATATTATTTTCAAAGGAGTCCGGTGGCTTCAAAGAGAGAATGTATACTTCAGTTCCCCATTGGAAAGGGCTGTCTGACCAAGAACGTGAAGTAGTGAAAATATTCTGAATATAGCGTACACTTCAACTAATGTATATTTTGTAGGTGGTTCAAATACATTGTATTAGCTTCCATGCAGGAACTCCTGTTCTCATTCATAACACTCCGTTCGATGTCTCACTATGAGATGCGCCTCATCGCGGAACAAACAGAAGCATCAATCTCATTACGCCAATCCTGATTGGCTGGTGATCTTGACGTCAGCGTCAGGGAATCCACCCACCCTATAAGTAGCTTGCGCCACGTCGCAGCGTCATTCAAACACCTCTTCTCGCTTCAGAGCACATCTCGACATATCAGTAGCCGGGCTAGCTTAACGGTCCACAGACTGAACCCAAAGCTAACTTTCGGTCGACGGGCGCTCGCCGGCTACTCTTCTGCTTCGCAAGAAGACTGTTAATACTAACACACCAGTTAGTATTGCAATCTACCTCGCCGTTTCTTTCTTCGGAAATAAAGGTAAGGTTTTGATTTTTCAAGCTAGTAACACACCTGTTGCTAGCTTGCCTTCCCTCACTACCGACACCATGGTAGCGAGGACGTTTTTTCTTTTTCTCTCTCACACCAGAGGAGAAGAAGATAAAAAGGTATTAACACACCAGTTAATATTCTTTGAGAATAAAATTCTACACCGTCGCTTTTTCTCCGGATTAACGACAGGTTGGGAAATAATTTTTTCTCAGCACAGACTCACACCAGGTCTGCTCGACCTGCCTCGGGCTGGAACACGCCCAGGAGGCTATCGACAACCCCGGCTCGTGCGGGCATTGTGCCCGCTTCACCATCAAGAGCCTCCGCCGACGGC